ACGCGGTGGCCTTCACACGACGCTTTAACCAGGTAAACCACAGATACTTTTTGTTGTTGCCCCATTCATTGAATATAGACAGTGATTAAGTGTAGACTTGGAGCTGAGGAGGTTGAAATAAACAAAACTGGAGAATTGGAATTCACAATTGCTGTAAGCGTCTGTCTGAGTAAGTGAATTATTACAAATTAAAATCAACTAAAGATTAAAGCACTTTGGCAAGGGTCAGTGGACTAGCAGGGGGCATGGTGGTCATATTGTTGGCAAATTAAATAAACATGAAGACAGTTTAATAACCTTTTATAATGGCAGCAGCTTATAAAACAACACAAATATGAACAAATAGTAATAAAAAAGATTTAAAGAAACATGTAATTCTTTGAGAATGAAGGGATTTAAAAAAATATTAGGAAAAACGGATTTTATATAAGTCAAATAAAGACAAAAAAGGTTTATTCTATAGACTATATGTGACCATGGACCACAAAACCAGGCTCAAGGGTTAATATTTTGGAATTGAATTTATACATCATCTGAAAGCTGAATAAATAAGCTTTCCATTGATGTATGGTTTGTTAGGATAGGACAATATTCGCCGAGATAAAACTATTTGAAAATCTGGAATCTGAGGGAGCAAAAAAAATCTAAATACTGAGAAAATTGCCTTTAAATTTGTCCAAATTAAGTTCTTAGCAATGCATATTATTAATCAAAAATTAAGTTTTGATATATTTACGGTAATACATTTACAAAATATCTTCAAGGAACATGATCTTTACTTAATATCCTAATGATTTTTGTCATAAAAGAAACATGGATAATTTTGACCCATACAATGTATTTTTAGTTATTGCTACAAATATACCCGTGCTACTTAAGACTGGTTTTGTGCTCCAGGGTCACAAATAGATGTTTTGTTACCATTCCAATCCATCAAAAAGTACTGGGTAGAGAAACCAAAAGAGTATGCATAATGTTAGTTGGCTTAGTTCATTTAGCAAATAGATATTTCCTTCAGTTAATTTCACACTTAATTATGCTCATTAAAATCAATGTATTCTACAAGCTTTTGTTACTTGCGCTGTTTATTTCTTTCGTCTATGGTACTTCATCTTTAATTTAGTAGCACATTAAAGCTGTATTTGTGCGTAATGAGAGAGACGCGCACAGTGTAGCCTAGCGCATTTCACACAGGCTGCTAGTTTCACTTTCACTTTAAATAAGTTGTGTATGCTTGACGTTTAAAATAAATGTTGTTTATAGTGAATGCCTCGTTAATTTTGGTTTGTTTTATATTTATATATTTAGTTTTAATCCAAATGATGCATGTGCTATGTGAGCGATTCAAATCCATCAGAAAGCTAAATAAAAGTTCAAATTAAAAAACAAAACAAAACTTTTTTAAGTGTGTTATGTTCACCAAGGCTGCATTTATTTGATCAAAAATAGATAGTAAAAATAGTGCGAATGTGAAATTTAATGTCAAAATTACTTTTCTACTTGAATATATTTTAAAATGTAATTTATTTCTGTGATGCAAAGCTGAATTTTCAGCAGTCATTCATCTTCAGTGTCACATGATCCTTCAGAAATCGTTCTAATATGCTGATTTGCTGCTCAAGAAACATATCTTCTTGTCAAAAAACAGCTGTGCTGCTTGATATGTTTGCAGAAACTGTGATTTTTTTCAGGATTCTTTGATGAATAAAAACTTCAAAAGAACGGCGTTTAAAAAAAAAATATATATAGTTTTTTGTAACAATGTAAAAGACATTGCAGTCACTTTTGATCAATTTAGTGCATCTTTGCTGAATAAAAGTATCTATTTATTTTCTTTTTAAGAAAAACATTTTTTTTAAAGAAATTTCTTTTCTTTTTACCCCAAACTTTTGAGCAGTAAAGTGTGGTTTCTGAAACATACTTTTCAATTAAAAAAAAAAAAAAAAGCTAAACTGGAGAAACTATTTGCACATTACATTTTTAAACATTATAATCAGTAGCTTTTTAATTTACTTTTTTAAAATACACTTTTCCATTCCGAATTATACTAGAATATGTGTGTGGTCAGCCAGTTTACTACGACAGGAAACATGTTTATTGTTTCTGTGGCCACATGTATTGGAGAGTAGGTTTGTTTTAAATAAAAACTTCAAATCCTACAAAGCGGAAAATAAGGTTTCCAAGTGGTTTGTGTTATGGATTGGGCATTAAAGTGCAGAAAAGTGTTGGTCCAGGTAAATGTTCGGGTCATGAGGGGTGGAGGCCTCTCTAGTAGCTCAGCTTCCAAGGGCTGGCATGCTTGTAATGCGCTGGCTGAACATGTTTGCGAATGAGTATGTTTCTGGCCAAAATCTCTTGACTTTATTGCCTTGGATTGGCTAAGTTGGAAAATTACGTCGCCGTCAAGGTTCTTGTTAACAGAATTTGGACTCTATGCTAACACAACACGTTTGATTGTGATTGTATGTCACAGTCACTCCAGGTGAGTGAGACAAGTGGGAAACTAAACTTGCATTTACATTTTGGCTCTACTGTGAGCAGGTAATGGCAATGTTTGAAAAGCTTATCACTGCGCTGAGGCCTGTGTGAAGATGTTGGATGCACACCACTAGGGCTGGGAAACACTGACTTGATCCAGTTGGCCTTTGAAGAAATATGTGGCCCCCTCTGAGTGTGTACAAATTTCTGTGTGCAATCGTTGCTTCATAATTGGCAGAAGCTGACAGTGTGTAACCAGAAGGGAATGATTATTGATTAAGCTTATATGCAATGCAGAAGTTGTTTTTGCACCTCTCCACTTTAAGACTTAAACACACCCTCACAGACACAGACTTTCTCCCCTGATAATATGGCTAGCGCTCTGTAATAAATATGAGAATATCAGTGAGGAATTCGTGTTCTGTGGAAACTTCTCTCAATATACATCCTGAAAACGGCTAAAGCGGCTGTTCAGGAACTCACACGCACTTGCCTGCCAACACAAATGTACTTTCTGAAGGATGATACTTTGAAAGGCGAGAACAAAACGTCCCAAAAAGACTGGAACGTAATGTCCTAAGGTTTACTGAACTATATGTGTCACTGAGCTATATAAGCTATAACTGAACTATAACTATTTGAATGATTCAAGACTCACTCCTACAGGAAGTCTTGTTTTGTTCCTGAATGAATCAGCACTTTTGACCAAATTGGTTGAGTGACTATTTCATTGACTTACTTAAAGAAAGTCACTAGTTTAGTTTCATCATTCATACTGAACTCTTAACTATATAAACTAATGTCACTGAACTGTATGTGTTTATATTAGTGCTGTCAAAATTAGTGCGTTAATGCAGCCGATTATTTTTTTCAGTTTAACGTGTTAAAAATATCTAACGCAATAAACGCAGGGGCGGAGCTAGGATTGGCCACCCTACTCGCAACTGCTGCTTCTGTCATTTTTTCTCTTGAAAAAAAGTGCATTTATTCAGTTGCAGAACGTCTTTACGACCACATCAAACAGGAGATGTTTCAGACATGCACTCCAACTTCACCTCAGCGCAAGGTGTGGGTCAAACGAGCACAGAAACGGTACTGTGCTCACAGCTCAAAGGCACCAGTACACGCTGTAGACTTTATCATTTCATATCAAAGCATGAAATAAACTACGTGCATGCAATGTCATGGTCAGTTACTGTAAGTCATGAAGTTACCAAAAAGGTGGAATAAAGCTGCCTTAAAACTGTGCATGCATGTAATATATTTTATATGAGTCACATTTAAGAATATGTCTCTGAAATGGTCTTCCAAACTGTCCTGGAGCAGCCCAGCAATGTCTCCCTCATCTAACAACCACGATTCAACTCGTCAGCTCATTAGTAGAGACGAAGTGGGTCAGAAAAGGTAAGGAGAGTTGAGAAAAAATACAATGCCTGTCAGATCCGCGTCACGTTCAGCAGCGGCAGCTCTTAAAGAAATAGCAGCCAAAACAACCTAATAACCAGCTGCTGTGATGTCTGTTAATCAAAGAAAAAAAAAACGAAAAAAGAGGAAATCATTAACTTTTATAGCTTTAAGGATTCATCTAATTCTCATTTAGTTGTAACTTCAGTTTCAATTTCTGTATATTTATGCTGAAGGGCACAGGTAAATATGACATTTATTATAATTGGTTTATGTGAAGATTGTTTTAAAGGGGTCCGATTATGCTCTTTTACAAAGTCTTGATTTTGTTTTGGGGGTGTACTAGAACATGCTCTCATGCTTGGTGGTTCGAAAAACGCATTATTATTTCATTACACCAAATACACAAAATAATGTTATTTTTAGCAACATCATATGACCCCTTTAAGTTCACTTAAATTAGAAGTTATTTTTTTAAAGTCTAATAAATGTTAAAATTGATATCTCTCAATTATTCTGTAATGTTGAATGGCTATAATCAATGGTTAAATATTAGGGGGGAAAAACAAATTTATAGAGACATCAGTAGTATTGGTATCAGTGATACTTCATTTACATTTACATTTACATTTACATTTAGTCATTTTGCAGACACTTTTATCCAAAGCGACTTACAATTAATGGTTTGGAAACACATGATAGAGGTGGAAAAGAGAGGACAGAAAAGGAGAGTGTGTACAGGGAAGAGCAAAAATATACTTAAGTGCCTTGGCGATTTCGTTGCTCGGTGAAGTCGCGCAGGTAAAGTCGCAGGTCTTTACACTCATTGGTCTTCACACGAGGAGGCCTGAACGCTTCCGCTGATGCTTCCGCGTCAGCGCACAGACATCAGGTAAATACACAGTCTAAAAGACTAAAGTGAAAACAGCTGTGGCCGCCTTCTAATTAGCACAGCCAATAGTCTATAGCAGGCCAATTCCTCAAATCGAAACTACAGTTCGCACTTAAACGCAGGAAGGGAGCAATTAAATTACACGTGCTCCTTCTTAGCCGAGGGCAATTATTATAATTACCAGAAAGTGCAATCAAAAATACAAACGCAAACAAAAATATAACGTAGAAATAGGCAGAAAACGAAATATTCCTTCCTAGCAGCAAGTAATAATTCAAACAGCAGATCTATAAACAAGTATTACGCAAAACACTCACGTGCAGCCGTCTGTCTCTTCTGTTGACTAATCGCTTTTTTATGACTTCAGTCATAAAGATGCCATTTATGTTGTTTGAACATTAATTCGAAGATTTAATGTGAAATTAGCGCAATATAAAAGTATATTTAAAAACGGTAATGTTAGGTGGGATTAATCGCGATTAATTTCAGAAAAAAATGTGCGATTAATTAGTTAATTTTTTATAATTGATTGACAGCACTAGTTTATATGTTTCAAGGCCACAATGGGGTCTCGTGTGTTTTTGTAAAACTAGTAGTCTAGTTAAAACCAGTTTTGTTGTCTTTCAGTAGCAAGCTGATCATCTGTAGATTTGTGTAATGTAATTGTTCACTGATTATGTATACGTTTGTCATCATTCAAGTGATGGTTTCATCATTATTTTAAAGGGGGTTCAATACTATGGCTTCTTTTGTATTTTTATTCTTTAAAATACAAAAGAAAGAAACTCATTTAGTAAATAATGACAGAATTTTCATTTTTGGGTGAACTATCCCTTTAAATATAGCTAACTGATCATATGTAGTTAGCTAATCATTATGTAGTTGGTTGGTAGTTACTGATCTTTTTTTTTTTTCAACAGCAGCAGATTAATAAAAGTTATTGACAGTTGTCTGGCTCAGTTGTCTTGTATAACTCATTGTCATTGTGTAAAATGAAATGTTAATGTTGTTTATATGACTATAAACACTGGTAAAGCACTCTTTCCATAAATATACATTATTTTTTCTCTCTCTTGCTAGACCTTATGCTCCCCACTTCAAAGACTCACAAATTAACATTTTTGGTCTGTCATGCACAAACATGGAGTGTATTCATATTACATTTACTCTTATGTACTCAATTCAGGAAATAATGGAAGCAAACTCGGGTATAAAAATACACTTATGCATACACACGCATACAGACAGACCCTAAAGATTACCCATGGACAGATGTTACAAATTAGGCACACATGGGTATCTTTTACCAGGGGATATTTGCATAAGGTCTGTTTTTTCAGTTTGTTCTTTTTCTTTCTTTCTTTTTTGTCATGTTTTCCTTGACTTAGATGAAATAAGAGGAGCGTGGAGATGAACTATTCTCTAATGGAGTATGTGGGGGAAAGATCTGCATGACTAGAGGCTCCAAAATTGATTTCCTCTTTGTGTAATGCAGGTGCAGGTGTGTGTAATGCAGCAGCTGGTGTGAATGTGTGCTCATGCGTGAGATAGAGTTTTTGAGTTTTTGCACTGTGTATTTGTGTTCGAGTATAAATGTCTGCAGTACCATGCTGCCTTTTCTCTTCATTAGTCATTAGAATTAAATTCTTTCCACTGGTTTGAGGCATTCCGGCTTCATTCAAAGACGCTGTCTCACAACAACAAACGGGAACACACAGTAGGGGAGATGGTGAAACAATGACCTCACTGTGTGTGCGTCCCAGCATCCGACACGTGGGGAGGGATGGGGAAAGAGGGATTGCGGGAAGGAAAGGTCTGGAAAATCAACAGGAGAAATGGAAATGGGGGGCTGAGGTTGGCAGGGGTTGGAGGAGATGAAGAGTGATGTTTCAACAATCCATGTCTGCAGTTGCATAACGTCTGAAGCTTAAAATACAATGTTTCTTCTTGTCTCCTCTTGGCTTCTCATCTCCTCTCATTCTCTTTTCTTCACATGAACATTTACATTTTCCAGCCCCACCATGTTTAGGTTAACTGTAGTGTAGCCTATATCTTGACTATAGCAGTATTGATTATTTATCGATATGTCTTTGTTTTTATGGTTTTGTCTAATGTTAGGTGAGTTTCTGGGTGGTGAGGGAGATTCTTCATGCTCAAACTCTGAAGATCAGGGCAGAAGTGTTGAGCCTCTATATCAGAACAGCAAAGGTAAAAAAAACACTCCATTCAGCACATGTGTACTACTTAAGTGATTATGCTAGTTGCTAACCTTCTTTCTCTCTTCTTGCAGAAACTGTGTGACATGAATAATCTCCATGCAGTGATGGCAGTAGTATCTGCTTTACAGAGCGCCCCCATCTTCAGGCTCACCAAGACCTGGGCTGTGAGTTATTGAATATATTACTTATTAATATTTTGCATATTAGTTTTTACTTGCTAAAACATATTTTTTTTGTGGTAATAATTAGAAAATTATTTGCACATTTTAAACACACATTTCTTTTAATATTTTCTTTTCATTTATTTATTTATTACTTTTTTATTTTATTTTCAAAGCATTGTGTGTGTTTTTGGATCAGTTGGGTTCTTGGTTGTTTCGATTATCATTTTGTCCAACCCCAGCTGCTGTGTGTGTATACATTTCTTTAGACTCGGTTTTCATGTGTGTTTATAGGTTGTGAAATTATCCAGGCCTCCAACATGCTCTCAGTTAGTTATTGATGAGAGCTGGAAACTGCAAACAAATGAATCACTGTGAAACCTTGAGCTGTTTCTTTCCAATACTTAGACTGGTGAATAGCAAGGAACTCTGTTTAGTTTTTCCCCTTTCAATCTTTACTGGAATTAAATCGTGCATTTCATTTCTCAAACATGATACCCTCCATTTGAACACACTCCATAGTGGTAGGGATTTTTGTACCCCTGAAATTAATGTACTTGAGTGAATATTTTCTTTCTCTCTAATGATGGAAACGTTGTTGTTAATGATATCCTTATGAACTGACAGCCTCAGTTTCTTTAAAGATCATTAGCTTGCGCTAAACCTAAAGCTAATAGTGGGATTTCCCTAACACTCATCTGTTTCTACTATAAAATAGGGCAACTATCATAAAACAGACACCTGTTCCTCAGGTTTTTATAACTTCACAGCATGTTTGCTCACAAATCATTCCGTAGACGAGCATCTGTGCTGCACTTGGGTTGCTGACATTTACTAGCATTAGCAACTTCAGGTTTTGGACCAGTACAGAACCACCAAAGAACCACCAGGAACACCCAAGCAACCTCATAGAATGCTCTAAAACCACTCAGAACACCTGAGACCTGGCAACCACTCAGAACACTCTAGCAACACATGCAATTCTGAACGTTTTAGAAGCCACAAGACAATGCCTTGGCAGCCACCAGCAACTTCTTAGCACTTTGGTGGTGGCTTTCGCATGTGCAAGCAGTATTTATTTGTATTTTGAGGGGAGCTGTGGTTACCGTGGTTAACTTTTATAAGGATCAGGCTATCCAGCATCTCGGCGTATCTGTCTTTTCTTTGGAAACATTGTCTTGTCTTGTCTTCAGTCACAGCCAACTTCCCCCTCCTCAATCCTGTCTCTAGTGTACCATTTTCAGTCTTTTACATAACTGGAATATTCCTCTCCCCTGCTCTTTCTGTCAGATTTGTGTTTTCCATGGCTTCTCAGGCTAGCTTTCCTCAGACATGGCCAAACGCACACACTCCTATATAGTGGGCTCTGAACATACTTCTGTGTGGCTATTTTTGTAATTTATTAAAATATTTTCCCTTTATAAATTGTTGCCCAGTATGATTTGAGAATAATCCAAATAGCATCTTGTTCTTCAGTGGACATTAGACCTTTTGTACAGATGAATTTACATGATCAGTTTCCTTCCAAGTATGTTTGGTGAAAAATGTTTTATATAACGCATATTAAAAATATTGGTAGTACTTTATTTTGATAGTCCAATTTAGACATTCTACTAACTAGTAACTTTTCAACTACATACCAACTACCAGTCATTACATTATTAGTAGACTATTTATTATCTACCAACAATTTAATTTGATGGTCTCTCAACAAACATTTTATTGACTATTAGTGACTTTGCCTATTCACTCTTAAAGGGATAGTTCACCGAAAAATGAAAATTACCCCATGATTTACTCATCCTCAAGCCATCCTAGGTGTATATGACTTTCTCCTTTTAGACCAATGCAATTGAAGTTATATTAAAAAAATGTCCTGGTCGAGATTTTGAAGTCCAAAAATGCATCCATCCATCATAAAAAGTGCTCCACACAGCTCCAGGGGGTTAATAAAGGCCTTTAGAAGTGTATCGATGTGTTTATGTAAGACAAATATCCATGTTTAAAACTTCATCAACTGTAATCTCTATCTTCCGATAACTGTCGTACACGAAAGAGTGATGTTCCAGCGGATTCAAGTAGGACTATCATGTAGTGTGTTTTCTTTCACTGCATGATTCAGTCTATTAAAATGCATTTAGAATGATCACAAATTGAAGACATGGGGACAGAAAATGTATATTTTTATACCACTTCATATAGTTACTCAATTTCACACGAAGAGTGCCGTTTTTCTCCAAAAATTACCATGATTACAAATGTGACATTGAATTCAATAAACAATAAGTTAATTAAGAGACTTACGTTTTAGACACCATATTGCCTGCTTTTGCACTATTTCGCCAACAAAAATCATTCCAAACACAGCCACAGTATTGTTTTGCGTCTCTGAGCAACATGACGGTGTTTCGTTCCTGAATGAATCAACCATTTAAATGATTCGGTTCAATCGCAATGACTCACTTATTAACAGTGATTTGCTGCCACCTATTGGCGGTTTTAATTTCACATTTCAACTTTTTTTTTTCTCTCTCTCGATTTTTTCATGTTTTAAATCATTTCAAATATCAGTATTCAACGTTTTATGTTTAATGTCTCAAAACATTATTTATGCATTTGTAATTGCAGGTTAAATGCATTCATGTCTTGCATTAAATAATGTGTAAATACATCTAAATAAATGCCATTTCAGATGCAGCTTCTGAGTTGATTTCATTTGCTTGGTAACAGCCCAAATGTCTTATTATTCTAATTCCCCGATTAAATGTAAGAATTTGACTTAAAAGATAATGGACACTTTTAGAAAAAAATGGCTTTATAAAGGTAAAAATGCCCATAAAATTAAAAAATCAGTTTAAACTTATTGGAAAAGATTAATTTCTATCAGTGTGAACTTACCACCACACAGAGTATCTGTGTGGTGACCGATGTTTTGTTTTGCTCTCCTCACTTCTCACCAGAGCTTACGCTACACCTACGTAGGTGTAGCGTAAGCTCCGGTGAGAAGTGAGGAGAGCAAAACAAAACATCGGTCACAAATTAGAAATACAAAACGAGGAATGTAAATAAAAATGTTGAAAGATTTCAATATAAGCCAAGAGGAGACTGGTTTTCCTCTCCTTTAAACAAAACTTGGTTCTCGCGAGACTCGCTGGAGCTTACGCTACACCTACTTCTACGTTATCTGCTGGAACGCCACTCTCGCGTGAACGCTCATACGACAGTTAGAGTAAACTAGAGATTTTGGTTTATAAAGTCATAAATATGATTATTTTTCTTAAAGGAGCCCAGGAGCCGTGTGGATGCACTTTTTGGGCTTCAAAATCTCAACCCCCATTCACTGCCATAATAAAGCCAGGGCATTTTTTAATATAACTCCGATTGTATTCATATTATTGTATTCATTTTTGGGTGAATTATCCCTTTAATGTATCAAATAAACCGATTCTAAGACATTTAGTCCCTTTACAAACTAGCTGCTAAGAAGTTTTGCTGTTCTTTTGGAGTCATTTGCAGTAATTTTATCCACACACGGACCTGCAGACAGAATGATTTTGCGTGAGAGGTCACATCAGGTGGCTCTTAATTTGGTTAGGTTTGTTTGAATTTACTGCGCGGTACTCTGGGTTTCATTTCAGCACTATCAGCTTTTCCTTTGTTTGCAGAGCTCTTATTTAATCTTATCTCTGTTTGCTGTCTTTGTTTCTCCACACTTTTGTTTTTGCTGAGAACATTACTAAACACTAAACATTAGTTTTCAGTTTTTTCTTCTCTTGTTTTGGTCAGGTGGAGATATTTTACGCCGTCCCAAATGCGATTGTTTACGATTGCACTGCCAAGTGGTTGATAAATGGAAAACAAACAAAAATCATGTTTAATGTTTCATGTTTCAACTGTGAATGCTTACTGGAATATGATAGAGATGATGAGCACAGACACTAAAAATCAGCATTCTTGAGATCTGTTGTTAGAGACTGGATTGTTTATAGCCGAGTTCATTTAAATGATTTAAAACCTGATTTACTAAATGTTTGTGTGTCTAGAAACACATGCTGACTTGATAAAACATTGAAAAAATGTCTGAATGTTGTCTACTGAGGGTTGCTGCACTTCTGCATGTCACAGATGCTGATAATAAAGCCAAATTTGTATTGAACCCAGATTATTCCTTTAAAAGGCACTTATCATAGACTGGTAAAAGAACTCGCTCATTGTTTCGGTTACAAAAACAACTCTTTTTCTCCCTCTGTTTCCCACAGCTTTTGAGTCGAAAGGACAAGGCCACGTTTGAGAGGTTGGAGTATCTCATGTCTAAAGAAGACAACTATAAACGCTTGAGAGATTACATCAGCAGCCAGAGCATGACATCCTGCATCCCATATCTGGGTATTTTTTCTTTCCACTCTTATTTGCACACACACAAAACATAACCTTGTGGGGAGGTCCTGTTCCAATTTCAAAGGAAATTATAAATGCACACACCTCACGTCTTGCAGACATTTTAAAATTTGAATCAGTTAAAGATTTTAATTAAATTGTCCCATTTAAGACATTTCTGTCTTGTTTAGATATCCTCAACGTTCTAGGGATGCCTTGCGGATGATTTGTACTAAATAGCCAACTTGAGAATCACCTTTTGAGCTTGTTTCATTGTTTGTGCAATTATTATTTCTGTGTAAATTAGAGCTGTCAAAATTAACACATTGACACATGCGATTAATTATATAAGTAATCAAATTTTCTTCACTCTATTATTTGTTGACGTTGTGAAAAATGATTGACTGGCAGAGGAAACACAGGCTGTTGTCCTAAGGCTGTTACAGGGACAGGTGCGATTTGTCATGAAACCGATTTCTGTCTTATCTGACAGCTGGAAGCCTTTTATATTGGGCATTTAAAAATAAATGGTATTATCACAGCTTTGTTTTGAAGAAGAGAAAATTATAGGTGGGACAATAAATAGCGCAGCTGCATTAACTTTATACGCACATACTGTATCCCACTATGCGTCTTATCCCAATATTTATATATTTACAAATATAATTAATGGTATATGTAAAATATATCTTAAACCAGGGGTCCCCAAACTTTTTTCTGCACATTGAAAAAATGTCTGAATGTTGTCTACTGAGGGTTGCTGCACTTCTGCATGTCACAGATGCTGATAATAAAGCCAAATTTGTATTGAACCCAGATTATTCCTTTAAAAGGCACTTATCATAGACTGGTAAAAGAACTCGCTCATTGTTTCGGTTACAAAAACAACTCTTTTTCTCCCTCTGTTTCCCACAGCTTTTGAGTCGAAAGGACAAGGCCACGTTTGAGAGGTTGGAGTATCTCATGTCTAAAGAAGACAACTATAAACGCTTGAGAGATTACATCAGCAGCCAGAGCATGACATCCTGCATCCCATATCTGGGTATTTTTTCTTTCCACTCTTATTTGCACACACACAAAACATAACCTTGTGGGGAGGTCCTGTTCCAATTTCAAAGGAAATTATAAATGCACACACCTCACGTCTTGCAGACATTTTAAAATTTGAATCAGTTAAAGATTTTAATTAAATTGTCCCATTTAAGACATTTCTGTCTTGTTTAGATATCCTCAACGTTCTAGGGATGCCTTGCGGATGATTTGTACTAAATAGCCAACTTGAGAATCACCTTTTGAGCTTGTTTCATTGTTTGTGCAATTATTATTTCTGTGTAAATTAGAGCTGTCAAAATTAACACATTGACACATGCGATTAATTATATAAGTAATCAAATTTTCTTCACTCTATTATTTGTTGACGTTGTGAAAAATGATTGACTGGCAGAGGAAACACAGGCTGTTGTCCTAAGGCTGTTACAGGGACAGGTGCGATTTGTCATGAAACCGATTTCTGTCTTATCTGACAGCTGGAAGCCTTTTATATTGGGCATTTAAAAATAAATGGTATTATCACAGCTTTGTTTTGAAGAAGAGAAAATTATAGGTGGGACAATAAATAGCGCAGCTGCATTAACTTTATACGCACATACTGTATCCCACTATGCGTCTTATCCCAATATTTATATATTTACAAATATAATTAATGGTGTATGTAAAATATATCTTAAACCAGGGGTCCCCAAACTTTTTTCTGCAAGGGCCACATAATTTTCCCTTTCTTTAATGGGGGGCCGGGTCGGTTTGTAACAGAAAATTACATGGGCCGGAGTGACTACTAGTATTATTGTGGAGATTTTATTATGATTTTAAATGTATTTATTATGCCTCCTAATGCTAGAATAGTTTATTTTGTTATGCACCGTACAGACAAATGATTACTTTTCAAGAGACATATAGCCTATTAAAAGAGCATTGTTATTACTATCATAATGACATTTTTTCATATTCAGTGCTATTCAAAATCAAAACATTTACTTATGCATATTAATTAGTGTGAACTGTGGGCTTGCTTCTGGCTAGTGAGAAGTCCAATGTCAGGTTCCATTCCTGTCACAGCCAGTCTCAAAGACTGATGCAAATGTTCATCAGTGAGTCTTGATCTCATTGGAGTTTTCATCAGTTTCATGCATGAAAAGGTTTGCTCACAAATATACGTGTTACCAAAAAGTGTGGACATCTTCATTGCATGCTTTTTGATGTTTGGGTATGTCTCGTTAGGGAGGGCAGCATAGAATTCAATGAGACCGTTGGGCTTAAATGCGTCTTTCAGAACATCACAGTTCTGTAACTCAGCCAACTCAAACTGATAAGAAGGCAGGGCTTCATCAATGTCGGCAGCAAAGGGGTTCTGGAAAAGGCAGATTTTTTTAGCGTGGATATGTAGCTCACGGAATCGCACGTCAAACTCCGCTTTCAGCATTTCCAGCGCTTCCACTGACTTTTCAGCTGGCGGGTTTCATAGTGTCGGCGCAGATTGTATTCTTTGAACACAGACACTGTTTCTTGACAGATGAGACAAACAGCCACTTCTTTGCTCTGAACAAAAAAATAATCACTTGTCCACTTTTGGTTAAATACACTGCATTCTGAATCAACCTTTCTCTTTCCCAACCGCTTGGCCATTTTGTCGTCTCTTTGAATTTGTTCGCTGGTTCACGCGTCACCTGTTCACTCGCGATGGTGTGTTGATTTCGGGTAGCAGCTCATAAAAATGCCTCAAAACTCTGCCCCGGCTTAACCATCGGACTTCAGTGTGGTAAAGCACATCTCCATGAGCAGACTCTAGCTCGGCGAGAAAGGCTTGGAACTGCTGGTGTTTAAGTCCATTTGCTCTGATGAAGTTTATGCATAACACCACCACCTTCATGACTGATTCCCACTTCAGAACTTTGCAGTGCTTGCTGGTGAATCAGGCAGTGAACTTGTAACGGTGGGGTTAGACCTCTTTCCTCCATTTCTTTATTCATGCGTCCTATAAGCCCCCTCGACGCGCCAACCATACTAGGAGCCCCGTCAGTAGTGATGCTGGCCAGCTTAGACCAGTCTAGACCCAGCTCTCCCATCGTTTGGCACACTTTACCAAAAATATCCTCCCCTGTCGTAGTGCCTTTTAGACTTTGTAGGGCTGCTAGCTCCTCTGACACTTCAAAGTTTGAGCTAACTCCGCGAAGAAAAATTAGCAGCTGTGCTGTGTCCTGCACGTCACGTCATTGCTCTCATCTAGTGCTAATGCAAAAAAATTTAAATGCTTTCACTTTCTCCTGCAGCTGGGCATATACATTATCCCCCATTTCTTCAATTCGTCTGGTGACTGTACTTGCGGACAGACTCACCGCATTTAAGACATCTTTCTTATCGGGGCACACCTCCTCCGCAACAGCATTCATACATTTCTTGACGAACTCGCCGTCACTGAATGGCCTACCGCTGGTTGCAATCAGTTTAGCTACCTGAAAGCTAGCTCGAACGGATGACTGGTTCAGCTGGGTTTGGCATACAAATGTATTCTGCTGAGCTGATAGTACACTTTTTAGCTTCGATACTTTGTCTGCTCTCATTTGGCCTTGCAAGCTAGCATACTTTTCTCTGTGGCAGGTTTCATAGTGTCGGCGCAGATTGTATTCTTTGAACACAGACACTGTTTCTTGACAGATGAGACAAACAGCCACTTCTTTGCTCTGAACAAAAAAATAATCACTTGTCCACTTTTGGTTAAATACACTGCATTCTGAATCAACCTTTCTCTTTCCCAACCGCTTGGCCATTTTGTCGTCTCTTTGAATTTGTTCGCTGGTTCACGCGTCACCTGTTCACTCGCGATGGTGCATTATGTTGAACGTACCATTCTGTTGGTAGGTGAATTTAACAAATAATTAGGCTACGTTAATAACTAAGGGAAATTTTAGTCTGAAAGCCAATATTTATGATCAAATATAGACATGATATAAGTGAAACCGTATATTTAAAATAAACATTTCAAAATACGTCTCTGGCATTGTTCAGAGGGCCGGTCCAAATGTGGGGGTGGACCGTATTCGGCCCACGGGCTGTAGTTTGGGGACCCCTGTCTTAAACAATTAAAATGTTACCAGAACAATATAATATAATATAATTAATATAATGTACACTACCATGTTTTTGCAAGAAGACTCTTATGTTCACCAAGGCTGCATTTATTTGATAAAAAATACAATAAAAACAGCCATATTGTGAAATATTATCATTTTAGTTGTCTATCTGAATTTATTTGACAATTTATTCCTGTGATTTCAAAGCTGAATTTTCAGCATCATTACTCCAGTCTTCAGTGTCACGTGATCCTTCAGAAATAATTCTAATATGCTGATTTGCTGCTCAAGAAGCTTTTTAAAATTGTAACATTTAAAAAAAATAAATAATTTGAATGTTTATTATTTTGACAGCACTAGTGGTTTTTTTATTATTATATTATATTTAGTAGTGCACGTAAGTTTTTTTTAGTCATAAGAACACCTGGAGATTTGGTTTGGTGCTCGCACTGCACATAGTGTGACCCATTAAATATAACTATAAAAAAGAAATAATAGTAATAATAATATTATTGCACTTTATTTATTTCACTTTTTAAAAATAAAATAAACAAAATAATAAAGTGTGATAATACTATTATAGGCTATTTTAAAATAAACAGTGAGTATTTAATATATAGTACAATTAAAAATACAATGCTTATGTGACAAGTGGGGGCGGGGCTGAGAGCCGTGGGAATGGAGCGAGGTCGGTGGAGTAATTGATAATGAGCGACACCTGCACCACTCACCGTTCTCGAGAGGTGTCGCTCATTATCAATTACTCCACCGGCCTCGCTCCGTTCCCACGGCTCTCGGCCCCGCCCCCACTCGTCACAGCTAATATTTACATTTTCATTTTTATTTAATAATTTTGATATGAATTTTTATAATTTTCAAACCTAAAATCAGCAAGCTTTTATTTTGGTGGGTTGCCGGCAAGTAAGTAAATGTGCTGCCGAGTGAAGAACGCACGTGAGGCGCATCAGTGAATAAAGTTTTGCATTTTGCTGTGAAACAGCGCATACTAGCCTAGATTTATGCTTTCAGTTTGAATGTAAATCTTCTACAGTCTTACAGTTAGTCGATCTAAAACAGTGATTGTGCATTAACATCTGTCAAACATTTTGGTACGCAGATGAGCGGTCTAAACATACAGTAGTCAACATTTGAAGTGGATCAAAAAAGTTCTTAAAGGTTGTCCTAAGACAAGAACGCATTTTGGTTTTAGGTTTTAGGACAACTTTGATGAAAGGTTTTGATCCACTTCAAATGTTTACTAGTTTATTTATCCATCGCATTTTTTCTTTTAGTCGTGCATAGGGTTGGGTATAGTTTGAATTTGATCAATTCCGATTCCGATTCTGCTTATCGATTCAGATTCTTTTCGATTCCCAGTTTTGATTCCAGTGTGATTAAATAATGATATCAAACATTTATCCTGTGTCTCTTTTTTGCAAACCATTTATTGGAGCTGAATACCATGAACAAAAATCAACAGGCTACATAAAAACTAGACTCTTTAAGAGCTGTCTGTGTTCAAACATAGAACTGCATGATTCTGGATAAATTGAGTTTTTTTTTTCCCCCCCAATGGAAGTTCTCTCATGATTCTTCATGATGAAGAAAAAACATTAGACAACTAAACAAAATCACATGTAACTTATGAATTAATGATTAAATGACTCACTCAAGATGTACTTGTTTCATTACTGGATGAATCAGCGTTCTTGAACGAATCTCTTGTATGATTCAAAGACAAATACATTTTAACAGCCCCTTTTCGCCACCTACTGGCGTAACAATGCAATCGATAAATCTTCATTTGAAGTGTCGATTTACTACACTTTTTAGCACGAACACAAATTTAAATGTTCAAATCACACTGGTGTGATTGTACGCTGCACGGATGAACCAACAAGTGATCACAACATTG